ATCCATACTTATTAGTTGATCATCTCGATGTATAGATGGATAAACATAAAAAAGGGGATCTCAAGTCCTAAATTTGTCCATCTTATAATAATTATCTATTTTCAATAGTGCATTACTATTGGAGCTTTAAATTTCATAATTAGGGATAAAAATAGATTTACAGGCTATAGTAGGGATTTAGACACTGAAACTACGTCTTTTGTTAGGGTTTAAAGGTGCTACTTAGACTGTTTAAGGTTACTACCTTATACCATGCCCAATATTCTTTTGGGGTGCTTCTGCTAGGATTGAGTAGTAAAGCAAGGACCCAAGAGACCCTAGAAACCCCTCATGGTCCCTAGAACCTAATTTTTTGATGAAAATTATAAAGACAGTATAAATTAGGTTCTCAATGACTTAGGGTTCCTCAAAACATCATGAAATGTACGAGAAACATGACTACTAGTATACATTGATATGTTGTAGTTCTAGGGATGTCGTAGTAAAGGCAGGTACATCTTGGATGATGCATTACCCACCCTTGTGACGGTTTATATCGTTGGATATAGTTTATCATCGGATGTTAAACAAATGAACTATTTAATGTCTTGCATTTTGATTTAATTTCAAAATGCCAATCAAAATACACACGACAATGAGTTAGAATCGTTTAAAAAATACAAAATGTTAAATAGTTGACAAATTAGGTGCATTTTGATAATCTTCCCATTTTTTTATACTAGGATGTCAAAGGATCATGTAGTTCTAAAATCAGGCGAATGGCTAGTGATGGACATGATCATCATAATGTATTCATTCATGCAAACCGAGTGAGGTCCCTTGTAATTGATTGTGCGACAGACATAGTTATTCCCATTAAATCTTCAAGATATTTGATTATGGGATAAATTTGAGGCACTGCTCAAATTTGGTTCATCAAAAGTTTGTGTTGTTAGATTATGAACGAATGTAACTGCTTTGGCATAGTTCGCTAGCATTGAGATGACTTGTTTGTGGAGATGACTTGTTTGTGGATATTTGATGCATGAAAAATTGAAGGAAGCAGTAAAATTAGTAAGAAACAAGCTAAATACAAGCACAAATAAAAAAAACTATGGTTTCTTCTCCATACCCTAAGCTTGGGTTCCAAAAGCCTAAGTTTTTCTCTCTTTCAATTTCTAAAAAACATGTGGAATGTCACGACCCCGTCCCTTGACCCCTATCGTATTTGCCGAAAGGCGACAGAGTGCTGGATTACGACCAGAGGTCGCGAACGTCACTCAGGTGGGAGTGGCTCAACGCGTTAAGAAATGTAGAATCAAAGCAAACTACAAAATAAAATAAAAACTGCACAAAATAAAACCATTATATACAAGTCCAAAGGTTCTTTATCGTTCTTTCCAAGGCACTACTGGCCTGACAATAAAATGTCAATATTACATCAAAATCATATTGTGGCACCGCCACCATACACATATATCAAAAGTTCCTTGTCAGATCTTGAACTTCAGCCACCTGCCACAATTGTCCAGCTGCCCACTCTCAAGAATCGGAGGTTATCACTCTACACAGGGAAAAAAAAAGAGAGGAATGAACTAAAGCCCAGTAAGTACACATGCACACTTATAAAATAATGTGGTCCGCAGATCATCACAGTTCATGCAAGTCACAGAGTAAAGTCATGCATCACAGTTCATTAGTAGTGTAAAACGGAGTATGATTCAGATATCCAGGCAGTACATATTGTATGAGCTAACAATTATTTCACCTCTTATCACAGTAACAGGTCAGTACCTAAAAAAAACACACAAAACAAAGTCTAGAGTTGACTACTCCCGAAGTAGAAGTCACATCGATCAAGCCAAGCCAGTCCTGAATTTGTAACTTCTACCCTCATTCAGGAGGGAGGATAATGAC